TCTTAAGTGCTGCCATCTTCCTTCCTCCTGCCACTTAATGTCTTCCATCCTCATTGCTGCTAGGGACCCAGGTGTGTAGAAGTGTCTTCTACTATCACCCAGATTGGCCGAGTTTCTCTGGAGAGCAATAGATAGCAGATCTTCTAGGCTTTGTGGGCTGTATGGTCTCTGTTGTAACAATAGCATGAGGACACAATGCATAATACACAAATGAACATGCTTCTCTTCCAGTAAACCCTCATTTATAAACACTGAAATATAAGTGTCATATAATTTTATGTGTCATAAAATATCACTCTTCTTTTTTAAAAAAATCTAGCTATTTGAAAATGGAAAAAATCACTTGTGGTTTGTGGACTGAACAAAATGTAGCAATGGGCCAGAGCTGCTCCTGTCCCAGGGCCATTCTAGAATTCTTCCTCTGTGAGAATTCTATTTCCTTTTCTCTGCAGTTTTCCAAAGCAGTGTTAGGCTCTCTATTAAAAGCAGTGTCTTAGAGACTTGTCTCCCAGGGCCCCTGTGAAGTATAAAATCTCAGTTACGGGATGAATCCCAATATTATCAAGTTTTCTCTCATCTAGCCTTACAGTCTACTAGACTTGCTCACTTTTGATTCAGCACCTTCAAGAATGGCTCCTAGGCATCATCTCCTAGCTCTTGCTAGGTACCGTTAGTGACATCTTTTTCTGTATACTCTTCCCCTTCCTTTAGCTGGCCAAGCACTTTCTCCCTTAGTGTAAAGCTGATGCTTTACTGTAATTAAGGGTTTGCTGGCCAGTAGAAATGTTGGAGGCACATCCTACTAGGGTATATTTTCTATCAGGAAAGTGGCAAGTTCTGCAGCTCCAGGTCACACAGGAGGAGCAGCTGGTTCAAGGTTCTCAAAAGCATTTGCCCAGAAACATCCATCCAGGACTCAAAGACCCTTGCTTTCCACTTGAGACACTGATTCTGGATCAGGCCCTGTGAGTACAGTGTGACTGCAGCCTTCTTTGAAATTCTTTTATTTTTACTCTTTTCCCCTGTGCCTGGTCCTCAGATGCTGTGGGTAAAGATGTGTTTACAAGCTACCAACGAGTAGCTGTGCCTTTCTGGTTGGCTTTAAGTTGATGATAAAGATGAGCTTGTCATTTTCTCTGCTCAGGGTTATTACTAGGAAAAAGGCCAGTTCATAATCCCTTTCCTTCTGTGTCTCTTCCCATTTCACCATCACCCATGGACTCCCGAGTGCCTCCCACAGTGAGCAACCCCTCTGCCTAATTCAGTCCTCAGAGGCTGCCTGAAGCATCATTGAGCACGAACGACGAGTTTGCATTAGGGTCTCAGAAAGGGGCTGGCATGCAAATGCTGCTACAGTCATTTATCATGATAGGCGTCTGCTGTGAAGACAGAGTAGGGTTCAAGTCTGTCATGGATGCAATTTCTGCTGGGGATGTGATTTCCTGACTGAAGCAAGACTTACATTCAGAGCTGGTCACATCTTGAGGCAGGGAGCTGGCCTTTTGGAACCTGACTGCTAGCTGCTCACTCAGGAGGACCCAACCTAAGAATGAATTACCTGAGAAGGAGCAGCTGTGAGCTTGCAAGCTGTGTTGCCAGCATCTGAGGAATGGGAGCACCCATCAGGTAGAAGAATAAAAGCAAGGCAGCAGCAGTCATTATGGTCCCCAGCAGCCAGCCAATAGAACTGTTCAGGAGCATGTTTTGGGGGGATGAGGTGGGGGGGTGCAGACAACAGATCTAGCTTTGGATCCTAGCCTTATCCTTCAGCTCTACCATACAACTTTTCTGAGCTTCATTTTTCTCCTCCGTAAAATAGGGAAAATTGTGATATTACCCTTATATGATTGTGGATACACTTGAGTCAGTTCACATAGATACTTGTGATTTATTTCTGACATGTATTCATGATTACTATGTATTAGGTTCCTGTATTTATTCTAAGCATATTACAAGTATTTGCAGTGCATCAACTTACCATGAATACAGGCTATTTGCTAAGCGGTTACTGGGGAAAGTGTTCTCAAGGGATTTTTTTTCCATGAAGAAAAAGAAAAATATGTATGTCAAGATCTTGGACAATGGACTATGCCAACTCCATAGTTCACTCTCCTCACATTCTCCTCCAGGGAAATATTCGTTTGTTCTGGGAGCACTTAGCCACAATCTCTGAGCTCCTTTTGTTCTAGAGGTTAATACATGTTCTCATTAATCTCAGACCTAATCTTTTTTAAAACATTGATTATAATTATAGAGTCTTCTATGCAGCATAGATGACAATGGAACCACCAGTGTTAAGATTACAAGCTTGTTGTACCAACAATAGGAACAAGGACACAGTGCAAAAGGTCAACATTTACTTGAAGAATTGACTATTCATGTCTTCAAAATGGATTAGAGACACCAAGGGCCGTAGTAGATATTTTAAACTTATCTTCATGAGCAATGATAGCCTTTCCCTTTCTTCATTCTAGAGTGTGAGTTTAGTTACTTCTTCTGAACATGTATGAATGAAGTAGTATGTGGAGAGAGGTGGCTGACTTGTGCTCTTTTTAGGAACAAATCCTCAGGCCCCCAAAGGAAGCTCCATTCAGAATTTCTGACACCTGTTCACCATGCACGGACCCATGGCCCCTGAACCATCTGTCTCAACCTCTCTGCCTATATTGGTGCACTGCACTGCTAGGCTTGACTCTGGTTGAGACTGGTGTTTCCTGTCCCAGAAGCAGAGAGTGACAGAGGGAGATTTGGTATGCATTTGTTGCTGTTATTTTCCAAGTCTTCGGCTGTTTGTAATTCTGTCACTCAGACCTACAGTAGGGTGCACTGCGGGAGTGGGGGGGGTGACTTGCGTTTGGAGTCTTCAGTGGTGCTGGGATGGCATCAACATTGCCCTTAGACATCAGTAAGCATTTCTCTTGCCATCCGACAGTGCCTGCTGTTCTTTGATTTTCTTTTCCTTATCTTCCTTTCTGCTTAACTCTCACCTACAGTGCACTTCTGCGGGTGGGGTGGTCGTTTTGACATCCCTGATTTCCCTAAATAGATTGTGCTGTGCTGTTTGTCACCATAGGCGAATCTATAGTTGGCTGGCAATGAGATGTTTCCTTGATTTGGAACGTTAGGCTCTTATGGACAAGGATGTATGAGAGTATGTGTGAGTGTGTATGCATAAGCATATGCGTGCCCAAGTATGTACCATCAGTTTTCAGTTGGAAGACATATATTGAATCTCTAGTGTTATAAAGAATATAGCACAGACCCTTCTCCTGTCTGTGCCTTTCAGTGTATCCCAAAGTAGGTACAGCAGTGGTGTGGCCTCTGAGCGCAGAAGGAAGCTAGCCCAGCTCCAAGTAGAGTCCTATTTCGGTATCTCTCTGGCATCTAAGCTTCAGAAGTCAGGGTGTTGTTTTTGGGAGGCACAGCCGAAGAAGCTGGAAAGGCATGACCGAGTTACACAGGGTATTGGGGCCATCATAATTTTCTGTGTGTGGGGAATGCAATGAATCATGGACCTTTTTTATCTTTTCTTGCCAGTCCTGGCAAGGGCTTGAGCACTGTCCTGAAGCTGCTTCTGCTCAAGGCTGGCACACTGCCACTTTGAGCCTTAGCACCACTTCCAGCCTTTCTGAGTTTCTTGGAGATGAGAATCTCATGGCTTTTTCTGCCCAGGCTGGCTTTGAACTGCCATCCTCAGATCTCAGTCTCCTGAGTAGCTAAGACTACAGGTGTGAGTCACTGGCATCCAGCTTGAATTATGGATTTTCTTCCAGAAGAATGTACCTTTATCTAAAAGTCTTCATAGAATTTAAGAGCATTTACACATGTCCTATGTACCCCAGGTGAAGTGACCCTTCTGTAGGGGCTGTTGAAGGCTTTTAGGCACAAGTATGGGCTGATCCAATATTCATCTTTTGAGAGATCATTGTGTTGATGGCCATGTAAAGTTAAGACAAGTGTAGTGGTGGATGAGTATGAATGCAGGCATGAGAGAAGACATGGAAGGGAGGAAGGAGTCAGCCTGGATGGAGGCTGTGTGGGTGACTGGAGTGCTGCGTTAGCTTTCCAGGTTCTGATAAGTTGTGACATAAGCCAGAACAGACAAGGTAGGTTGGGGTATAGGAGACATCTTGGTTTTTGGTGGAGATACCTTGGTTTCATTTGAGACGAGTTGATCTAAACTGTCTGTGGATCATCTTGATTTCATTTGAGACAAGTTGAGTCTAAACTGGCTGTGGATCATCAGTCAGCAATGACCACAAGTTAGTGGTTGGGCACCTGGTTTTGAAACTCAGGACAGAGCCTTGGGCTGATTTAGGTAGAAATATTGGATCTTCAGAGGACAGATAGTGATTACGGAGTTGTACAGGAATGAAAGGATGCTGGGAGAGTACAGATAATGTAAACACAAGGAGCAGAATCCTGGGGGGACCCCTTGGCTTGGGGGACTGCTGTGCAAACATCAGACCTGTCTGAAGGCAAAGGTGTGGGTTCAAAGGAAAAGAAGGAGAATGAGGGGAAGTGATGCTACAAGAGGAGGAAGGAAGAAATCATAGTGTGTGGCTTAGTATAATAAAAATATAAGTAAATTCATTACTATTGTCAAATGCAGTAGAAAGTAAAAAAATAAAAGGGCGGACTGGTGCATGGCTGAAATGGTAGAGCACCAACCTAGCAAATGTGGAGCCCTGAGTTCAAACTCAATATTGCCAAAAAAGAGAGAGAATAAATAAGAAAGTATGGATTGCCAGAGTTCTCTCTGGACTTAGGGAACAGGAAAGAAGTGGTATGGACACATTGCATTGTAAGTGTGACAAGGTGGTTTCGGTAGACCAGTTGGTATTTGATCTATAGTTATAGCAAGATGGAGAAATCAAGGACTGCTGTGGTAAGAACCCAAGTTGGCCACCGTGTGTCTATATGTTTGCACATGTGGGTATAAGAAAGGGAGGAATTTCTGAACAACATCCCTATATTTTCACTTTGTTTGCTTCTAGCAGAAACCTCTCACAATCACTTCTGTGGAAAGTAGACCAAGAAGCACACCAGCTGAGCTACAGGAGTGGAGCCCCAGCATTCCCTCTTCCCCCAGAAGCTGTGTTCAAGAGCAAGCCAGCTCAGCTGTCCCCTGTGGACAGGAGAGGGGAGATGACTACGTTGAGCCACATGACTACTTTAATGTCCTGAGTTACAGAAGCCTGGGGAGTTTCAGTTTCTTAGCAGAGACTGATTAGTGACCAGAGACATCTTCTGTCTTTGTATTCCAAGTGGATGTGTAATCCTCTGTAGTGCCCAGTGTGTGTGTGTGTGTGTGTTTGTTGAGTGAACGACATCCTCTTCTCCATCTCCACATCCTCCATTTTTCTTTTCCATTCTTTTTTGGCAGCCTTCAGGGGAAGATCCTGTACCTTCATCATGAATATTCATTTTGTAAAAATGAAAATAGCAATAACGAGGCGCTGGTGGCTCATAGCTATGAACCTAGTTACGTGGGACATTGAGATTAAGAAGATAACAGTTCAAGGACAGCCTTTGCAGAAATGTCAGGGAGAATCCATCTCACTGCAGGGAAGCTGGACGTGGTGATACCCACCATCAACTCAGCTAGGACAGGAAGTCTAAAATAGATGGATGGAAGTCTAGGCACACTGGGAAAAGAAGCACGATCCAAATTTTAAGATCACTGGTGCACAACAGGGCTGGATGCAGGGCCTATTAGTAGAGCACCTGCCTGCCTGCCAAGCATAAGGCTCTGATTTCAAACTACAGTATGAAAAAAAATACAAGCAAAGAAGATCCATGTTGGTCTGGGTTTAAATCCACTGTTTGGAGCCACGTTGGTGCTTGAACAAGCACAGTCCTCATAATAGCACAGAACAAGGTTTGGTGATACAGGTGGATGATGAGGGTGGCCTAATTACAGAGCCATCCATCTCTCACTTCTTGCTGTCATGGATACTGATGCACTGAAGGTGTTTAAGGCATGCTACCAGCCTCTGGGATGGGGGATACAAGGATGACAGACATTGCTTTGTGCCCTTGGGAATATACAGGGGAGTAAAAAGATAACTGCATAAAAATAGTAAAGAGGTAAGGATAGTACATGAACTCTGGGGAAAAGATGTCAGCTCAGGATGAGGTGGTCAGATGGAATAAGCAATGTGACTCCCCTGGTAGCACAAAAGAGCTCAATGAGTCTGGTCTGGTATGGAGATCCCCTCCCCCCACCTGGGGTAACTTTGGATCTAAAGTTGGTATTGGTCAGAGTCCCACAAAAAAGGCTCTGGTACCAAGGCAACCAACAAAACAGATTTTCTTCTTTTGGAAGTCATTCCAACTATCTTTCATATATAACGTTCTACAAGTCCGTTGTGATGTCCTGGTAGAGAGAACCACTGTCCATCCAGATGTGCATTGGGTTTATCTCCAGGAAATACCTATCCAGCCAACGAGCTGAGTGCCAGTGCCGGAGCCCAAGATCCATCTTGGGCTAGAATCTATCTTCCATTGAAAGAAAATCTAGATTTCAAAAATTGAGTTTTCCTTGGGGGAAAGTGTATATGTGGTGTGTGTGTGTGTGTGTGTGTGTGTGTGTGTGTGTGTGTGTGTGTGTGATATAGAAAGTTTAAAATGGACAATGGTACTCACTAGACACTATGTTGAAAATGAACTATAAAACTTGTGGGTGGGGCTGGGAGGGCAAAACTTGGAGAGAGCAAGGGAAAGGATGACATTGTCCAAAAAGAAAAGTACTGTTTACCTGACTTATATGACTGTAACCCCTCTGTAGATCACCTTTCTAATAACATTTTTTTTAAATTAGAGGTCCTTTTCATCCTTGGCCTATGTGTGGAGATTCAGATGATTGAGCCATTGATTTCTATTAGACAAACTTAGGCTGGTTCTAAGAAGACTTTCACCATTTTGTAGAGGAATGAGCAAGGACACTGGGTTTCCCAGTGCATGATGTCCTTGCATGGACACGGAGCTGAGAGAAAGGAAAGTGAGTTTGTGTCTTGCCAGGAGCTAAAACAAAGCATTGCTCTGTTTAAAAATTTGCTATAAAGACAGTTCACTTCCTTCCCCTCTTTGGATTTTCATTTTTCACTTTTTTCTTCCTTCTGCCAAATGGATATTAATAATGACTATTAGTAACAATTAGTGGAAACCTCTCCGAGCATCAGCTCTTTGGAAGAAAGCTAGGATATGTGTGAATTCTGTTGCTCACAGTTCATAGGCTTTTTTATTCTCCTGCAAAACTAGTGCAAATGTCTTGGAAGTGGAACACAACTCATGAATTGGAAATGGATGAACATGTAACATAACTGGAAAGGTATCTCTGGCTGAGGTTGGACTGGGATGTGAGCTGGATATTACTTGCCATAATTATGATAATTGTGAAACATTAAGAATGCCCTTTAGATAAGTGATTAAAAGTACAAAAGAGCCTCTAGATGTTGGAAATGGGTCAGCTTACTAAAATGAGATTCAGTTTGACAGAAAATCAATTTCAAAATGGAACTCATGGAATGAGATTCTCCTTTGGGAACCAGCGAAGACAATCTCCCTGGAAGCTGGACTCATGGAGACATGTGCAGTTTTCTACATGTGGCTGTCTCAGTGCTTGTGCTGGGGGTAAACTCAACAGGACTGCACCACAAGTAAAATATACACCAGATTTTTTTTTAAGACAATGGGAGTCATAAAATGTAAACTCCCATTAATGATTTTAAAATACTGCTGACATGACAAAATTATGTTTTAGATATATTGGGTAAAATAAAATATATTGTTAAAATTAATTTCATCTGTTTCCTTTTGCTCATTAGGCCCATCTCCTTGAAAATCTAAAGTTGCAAATGTGGTCCTCAGTAGATTTCTAGTGGATCATGAAGCTCTGGACTGTAATCCCAAATTGGCTGATGACCAGGGTGGGTGTGGTGTCTCTGTCTGTGGATTTCTGTTTAAAGTTGAGGAGGAAAAACTGGAGGAAGCTTTTCTTTCTAAAGTCTTTCAAGAAGTATCCAAGACAGAATCATAAAGGAGACTGAGAGGCAGGAGACCACTAATTTTCTTGGATTCCCTCTTGGGATCTCTGACAGGAAGAAGTAAGGACAAATGCAATAATGAACAAGAATTCATGAATGAACTCATTTACCCATTCTCCGCACACATTCCAAGGCTGAGCTTATATAGCCTGAGCTATCATCCACAGAATTATACTGATCAAAGGTGAAATAGTTTCGAATCCTGCAGCTTTGAGATGTTCTTCATGAGTGGACAGCACTGAATTTCACATGGGAAAGGAATGACAAAATGTGGATTCATTTGTGCAGTGGAGGTGAGCTGTGTCATCAGTTTTGAGGCTGGGACAGGTGTAGGTTAATGTCACACACTGACTTCTATATCACCACCAGTCCTGAAATTCCAACTTGTTGTGTCAGGAGCACTGAAGATTCAGAATATTTTTCTGGCCTTGTAGGTATTATCCACAATTTGGATGATCTTAGGTAAGGCTAGACTACAGTCTATGGAGTCTAGACTAGACTAGAGTGTATGGGAGAGCTACTTCTTGCCTTAAAGAAGACGCAACAGGAAACCAAGACAAGAGAGTTTTTTTTTAATTATTCCTTCATATTCAAACTTCACAAACAGTGTGAACTTGTACAATACCTCGGAAAGTGAAACTTACAAAAAAAGTGCTGGTAACATTTAAAAAAAAAAACAACAAAAACCCCAAAAAACAAACATCATTCTTAGCAACATCAATTACTCTTCCACACAAAACAGAAACCTTGTAAAATTTATTTTCGTATTTTTAAGGCGTAATACTTCTGTATAAAGTATATGCAAGAGATAAAACTTCACAGTATTCCAAAATGTCACAATAATAATAATAATATAATAGTATAATGAAGCGCTACAGTTAATTTTTCTTTTTTTTTTGAAATTTTTTTCCTGTTTAAATAACAAATACAAGTCACAGGTAAATATACGTGAGAAAAATACGAGGCTAATATTAAATGGCAGGTAAGGATACTGTCACTGTAAGAAAAACTGGCAGGATGTGTGTATTTAGTCTATATTTTTAAAGCACTTGATAGAAAAGGCGTATGCAAGGTTCTTCAAAACAATTTTTCTGTTTGTTTGATAACTGACAACAAGTTAAGAGTATAATGAGAGAAACAAAAAAAGGAACAAACTTCCTCTCAAAACTATTGACCTGCTCATCACAAACCATGTATCTACGGGAGGATGGGTGTGTGTTCATTGTTCATGTATGTGTGGATTTCTACGGCACACGGATTGGTACAAGCAGTGTTCTATGCCCACCTATCAGGACAGAGGGTACGTCTGCAGTCATTCAGCTCACGTTCCTCTTAGAACATTATTCCCGTCTAAAGCTGTCTTTCCTTCTCTCTCTCTCTCTCTTTTCCCAAACACTTCCCCAGTTCCCAGGTCTTCAGTCTGAAAAGATAGTCTGGTCAGAAAAGTTTCCTTCCATTCAAAATTCACTGGGAAATGGAAACTGCAGAAACAGTCTGAGACACCCATGCGTACACTGGAAATATCACTTGGACAAATGAATTATGCTTGTGTGTGTATTATGTGTGTGTGTGTGCGCATGTGCACGTGTGTATGTATTTAGGTCTGAATATACAGTGTATGTGCGCATATGTCTATGTGTATGTATACACAGTAGCAATTGCAAAAAAGGGACCACATTCCTTTCTGTATGAAGATCCAATGTGATAAGAAATGTTCCTGTACAGGGAAAAGGGTTCCTTCAAATCTTATCACAACACTGTGGTGGGAAAATCAGGAAATGAGTTCACCTTTCAGCAGTCACCACAGTAAACTTCATTGAGGACACGCATGCCCAGATGTCTGGTCTGCGCACATATGTGTGTTAACAGCTAGCTAGTCAGCCAACAGGTAACAGAAAGACAGCAGATAGCAAAAACACGTCAATAAGGTGCTCAAAGAAAAAAGTGGCACCCACTCCTCAGATGGATAGCCACGTTAAGGTGCTTCAAAAAGTTTTTTTTTTCAGTTTTTATTTCAAACATTAAAAGAGTATTGATTTGCACATGATAGATCTGAGCCAGGCCAAGGGTTTTGAGATTTCTGACATCTTCCTCTGAAAAGGGCTTTCACTGTAGTTGTTTTTGTTCACTTGAATGCGGTCACTTGAGTTTAGAACACTTTTTAATAGCCAAGAACTGAAATCAAATCAACATGACTAAAAGAAAGCAGATGAAATGGTATAGAACATTACTGCATTGGATCGAGATGGTTTTGCCCAGTCTCCCTCTCTTCCCTAACACTGTTCCTTTTGTTCTTTGTTACAATCCATTCCTTATGAACATACAGAAATGACCAAAGTCACTGCAAATGGCTGTTTTTATTTTTTGTGATCTGTTGCAAGAGTCCAACCTTGTTTCCTCTGCTGCTGTTTGTGTAGCATCTGGATTTGTAATGAGCATCTGGATTTGTAATGAGCATTGATTTTGTTATGTGCACATGTGTATATATGCACATACAACACACCTATATATGTATAATATATACACTATATATGTGGCTATATATAGCAAGTGTGTATACATTTATACATAATAGAGTGTATATTGTTTCAACTGGAGATAAACTGAACTGGGTTCAGACACTATAGCATGTTTATCTTTCCCCTGCTCCCTCTGTATATTTTAAACAGTCTGGAGCTTTTATTTTATTTTTTAAAGTGCATTTTCAATGCAGAGTAACTGTAATCCATTGATTCCTTGGAAAACATTTTTGATGAGAAAAAAATCTGACTGTTCTCAGCCCCAAACAAGAGAAACCTGAGTTTGGTCGTGCCAGGGGCTGGTGTGGCAGTGCCAGGCTTGTGCCTGAGTGATTACTGGGCATTCTGGACTCCGGGCACCTTCGCAGCAGCAGCAGCACCTTTATGAGAAGGTAGAGATAGAAAACGAAGCAGGAAGGAAAGCTAAGACTAGAAAGAATGAGTGTGTTGTTTGTGTGTGTCTGCATATGAGATTTGCTAACTTTGACTGGAATAGATTTGTGCAGTCCCTGCTTGGCTTTAGCTGAGATGTCATCTATTTTCCCTCACCAACTGACACTGACCTCCTATGTGACCCCTGCATACTCAAACTTCCTCCCTAAAAAATCCCCACTCCCGAGGGTGATTTCTGTGTCAGTTTCTAGAGGGTATGTCAGTGCCAGCATCAAGTAGGAATAAGGCACCAGAGAAATCAAAATGTTACAAAAAGATGCAAAACCCCATTTCAAAGAGCCTCTTCCATTGCTCCATTAAAATATTGCATGTGATACCATTCATTTTGTATGCAAAGTATGTCAAAAACAGTCTCTGAAAGGCCCTTCAGCACCAGAGATCTTTAGGAATGCACCCTTTGTCAAAACACCCCCCACCCCACCCCCACCCTCACGCCCATCCTACAACAGGAGCAAAAGCACCAATCAGGAGAATGAGGCAGCTTGCCTTGCTCACCTCATTTTGATAAAATCAAAGAGGTCCATGCAATAGAAACTGCAGGAATTGCTCTAAATTCAAGTGGATTTAAGTGGTCAGGTATCTGATTAT